AATGCCTGCAGTAGAACAAATGCCTAACACAAGTGAAACATGTATCTCATAATCATCACTTCTCCAGGGAGAAGACTGAAAACCTTGAGGCTCATTGCCACTCTCTTCAGGACCACCTCTGTCATTCTGGGTGACTCTGGTATCTGCACATGTGTCCTGTTTAGCAGTCTGGCCTCTCAGTGCCCGCATCTATCTTCCAAAGATCATTTCCTCAACTACCCACTGCCAAGGTCATACTCTGGCCCTTGTCACTTCATTCCTCAAAAATCTCAACCACAAGCACCACTCTGTCCCGACATCCTATCAATTCAACTTACTTACTCTGTTTCCTCAGTTCTAATACATCTTCAACTCTGACTCTAGTACAGGACCACTATTTGATACCGGACTCACGTCCTTACTTCCCTTCTTACCCAACTGAGATCCCAGGGCCCAGCTCTATAGCCAGTAGCTTTCACACTTGAGTTCACCTTGAACTCCCTGGTCCTGCCTCTCTCCTCCAACTCACTCAACTCCATGGCTCCCATCCCCCAATGCCCTTCACACTCTGACTTGTCCAAAAATCACTGAGCTCATTCCCACACGAAAACCTTCTTATTTACTGACCCCTTGGTCAGGAAGGCCCTTTTCCCATTATCTCCAAATGGCTACTTCCTCTCAACATCCTGGGCTCTTCTCAGAGCGGGCTTTGCATGAGAACCCTCCTCACTGGATCACTCTCTACCTTTCACTGCCCCTAAATAATATGATTTCAAAACATAAATCCACTTAGTTTCAAGGAAATAAGCTCCGTGAGAGTAAGGACTTTTCTGCCATTTTCACAGGAGCATAATCGGTCCCTGGATCAGGAACCGGCACTCAAGTAAATATTTGCTAAGAACTAGAGGTAATCCAAACTCAGGACTGCCTGTCCCACAGCAAAGGAAAGTGTCTCTGGGCCCTAATCATACATTCCTTTCATCTCCAAAAAGAGCAGAAACAGGCTATTAATTCAGGGAAGATTCTCCTTGACAACAGACTTAACTAGATAAGACTCAGAAAAATACTAATGCTAACTAAGCTCCTGCTCTGATTTAATAATTGCTCTACTATGGATTGATTACTACCATGGAAACAGTTAAAATCTATGTCTTTCAAAATAATGATGGGACACAGTAAGTACCACATAAATGTTAAATATCAACAGTCATGATTATTACTATTATCACTATCTGTCAGGAATCATTAGGTTATCTTTATGCCATTCACTTCATTTCTCATATCCGTTCAAATTGGGTATCAACATCTCCATTCTAAAAATCAAAGTAACTAAGACTCAGAATGGGTAAACAACTTGCTCAAAATTAGTAAGAGCTAAGGAAAGATGGAATTTAACTCAGGCATGCTAGGATCCTTCCACTATTGCCAAAACCCTCCTTTTCCAAAGAGTAAAACTCTGTACCTCATAGGAGGCCACCAGGCATGGGACATCACTTCCTTACCCACACAGCCAATGGTCACCACTCCATCTTTGTAGTGCTCCCGGGTCGGGCTGGTTGGCTCCATCACTGAGTCAGTCTGCTGCTCCACAAGGACTGCAGGTCCATCCTCTTCTTCCTCTTCCTCCCCAGAGCCATTTCCCCAGGTGGCCCCAGCCACATCTCGGGCAATCTTCTCCCGCCAGCTGCTTAAGTCCACTGTTCAGGGAAGGAGAAGATGATGAAGGTTCTCCCCAGGGCCACTGCAGATGATTGCACAGACTATATGCACTGCACAGCTGATGTAACTGGCGCCCTGAAGAGTTGAAGAGTGCCAACCTGCACAACACATTCTCCCCAGTGTTCACTTGACCCCACATAGAAATCATGTGAATTTTTGAGTTTCAGAAAAATACTGGGAAGACTGAAAGCAAAAGACCCCTGGGGCTCCTGTCTACCTGCTGCCTATGTTGCCACCAAGTCAGTCACCTCCCTCTTCTATCCCTCCCCCTGGCTTCTTGCCTACATCCATAAAGAAGAGGTGACTTCAGGGAAGGTAAGCAAAATGACTCCAAGCCTTGAGCCTTCCACATATCATCCCACAGCTCCCCTCTAAGAGTTATATACCTTTCCCCACAGTGATGGCTTCACAGGCTCTCAGTAACTGCTCTGGCCCCAGGGCCCGAGTCCATCCTCTCCCCCGTCTCCGACTCTTCTTCAAAACTGAGATCAGAGGGCACAAAAGTGTTAGCACATGGGCTTATGCACCCCATCTCACCCACCGCCCTTAAGCCCAATATCAGGTACTCCTTTGTCAACAAGCCTCTCTGTTCTCCCTGTTGTCCCCTGCCACCCCACCTCTCCCATGCTGCCTTCCTCATTGCCCACTCACCGCTACTAGGGTCCTGTGGGGTGCGGGGGTCCCGAGGGAAAGAGGTAAAAAGGACTATGTGGAGCTGGGGATAGTGTTGGTGAAAATAATGCTTCCAGGCAACCACGAGAGCCGGTGGGGCTAGATCCACCTTGTTCAGGACCAAGACCAAGGCCAACCCAAGTTCTCCAGTCACGTACTCGTAAAGTGCTGGTGGGAAATTCACAACCTGGGACAGGGTTGGTGAGAGGAGGGAGCAATGAGAGATCAACCCAGAGTTCTCTGCCTCCAGCTCTCCACTCACCAGGCACAGCTCAGAGACTCTGGTGGTAGCAGATTCTGGGGCAAAAGGGTAAATTAGCCAAACTAAACTAGGAAAATAAAGTAACGATAAGCAATACCTGTGCATTTGTGTCTGGGGGACTTAATACAGATCCTAATTAGGGATGGAAATGAGCCAAACACAAGACAAGGAAATAGTGATACCTAGCACACTGGGATAAAGGCTGGGGTCAGGCATAGGGGTGGGAGTTGGGATAAAGCTTAACACTTGTTTTTATGTGTACACACCCATCTACATTTATGTGCATACATGTGTGTGTGCATACATGTATGTGTGTATGTGCATACATGTATGTGTGTGCATGTTTGTGACCAGCATGTGTAGCTGTGTGAGTGCATATGAGCACACACATATGTCTGTGAGTATGCGTACCAATGCATGTATGTATGTCATTAAGGACTTCTAACCTAAATATTCCCACAGACCTCCCTTTCTCCCACTAGAGGACAAGAATGAAGTGGTAGAGCCAGGTTAACACAAGGGTCATCAAACAGCAGAGACTAGAGCCTGAACCACTAACTTAGTATTCCAGGTGAGGCTGAATTCTGTAGTGACTGATGTGATGGGGCAGGGGCAAGCCCCCAGCTGCCTTCACAGAATTCCTTGGAGCACCACACTAGAACTTTCTACTGGTCTAGCTCTGGTGGGACTGGAAAAAAGATATCTGGCTTTTCATCATATGAAGTAAAGAAGAGAGTCAATTAACCAGACCAGAAGTGACAAGCTGTGACACTGATGAATACAAGACTGAGTTCTGACTGTAGACATCAGCATGAGGTAGAGAAGACTAGAAATAAAGGATACCTCTCCATCTCCCAACTTCTGCCCTGGCCCTTTACCCCACAAGAATCTTCCTTCCCCCTCCCCCTTGCCCCCCTCATCCCCGGTACTCACTGGATGTCGGATATCAGTGATAAGCAGGACAATGTCAGACATCTCCAACACGCGCCACAGCTGCCTCCATGTCTAAAAAGACAACATCAGTGGAAGAGTACCTAAGCAGAGTCCTTCTCTTTTTTTTTTTTTACAAGTTTTTGGGTTTTTTTAAGATTTTTTTTTTTAAATTATTATTTCTAGGAGAGAGAGAGAGACAGTGTGAGCAGGGGAGGGTCAGAGAGAGAGGGAGTCACAGACTGAAACAGGCTCCAGGCTCTGAGCTGGCAATCAGCACAGAGCCTGACACGGGGCTCGAACCCACGAACCGCGAGATCATGACCTAAGCAAAAGTTGGACGCTTAACCGACTAAGCCACCCAGGCGCCCCAGCAGAGTCCTTCTCTTGCCTGACTCCAGACCAATCTGACCAAGGGTCACTTCTGTCCCCACTGCATTCTCACCTCCAGATTATGCTCAAAGTAACTGAGTTTCTCAGAGGTATAAGCCCCATGAATCTTCGCAAGATACTCCTGGAAGCTACGCTCCTCCTGGCTCATTAACTGCTCCTTGGACATCTCATAGCTCCAAGGAGGGCGTCGGGGAAAGTCCAGGACTGAGAAACCAAGAAAAAGTCCAAGTAAGTCTGAGAATAGTTTCGGGGGTCAAGAGTGCATCCCAGACCTATCATTCCTGAAAGTCAGGTCTTCCTCTTCCAAGTTCCTTCCCCCAGCCCACTGCCTCTCCCAAACATCCAGTGTTGAGCCCTCACCTGAGCCAGGCTGATAGACCTCTTGGATGTCCAGCTCCAGCAGCTCAGCACTGACCGGCTGTAGCACTTGCTCCCGAGCTGCTTTCTTTCTCCTTTCCACCTCCTCCCGACTGTCTCGCTCAAAGTGCAGCCGGTATCTAATGGGACAGGGACCACGCCATCTCTTGCAATCCTGTGACCACAAACTCCCCTTTTGGGCAGACAACTTCGTAGAGCTTTCTCTTCAGAGTTGTTCAAGTCTTCTTTCAGTAAGCCCTCCCTCAAGTCTCTCTTCCCTGCAGTATTCGACCTTCCCCTAAGCCTCGCCCTTCTAAAAGCCAAGAACTCTCTCTCCAGCCCCTCCGAAAGGGAGAATTGTGGCCTGCTCCCGTGAACCCGGCTGCCTGCGGAGAACCGTGGCATCCCAGCCCCACCTCCTCCACCAGCAATATCCGGCTTTCCCCAAGCACTCTCACATCCGGGTAGGCGGGGAAGCCCCGAACAGTACACCCGCCCCATCCCACCCCCTCCCCACCTACTCTCACCGATTTGGGTCATAGCCTCGAGGACCCAACCCTTGGGAAGGCTGCTGGTTGAGCCTGCGGATATGATGGGTCACAGACTCCCCGTCCGAGGTGTCGGTCTGCTCCTCCCGCCGCTCCCGGCTCCCGCTGCGGCTGTTGGAACTGGATCGCAGCCCATCTTGGAGTCCTGCGGGGAGGAGGCGGTGAAGCCAAAGCTGGCAGGTTCTAAGGGGCCGTAAGACCCCTTCCTCGGTCAGCCTGGCTTCTCACAAGACCCCACTTCTTTTGAAGCCGGGGACTCCCAGCCATCCCGCTCAAGACCCTACCGGATGTACGTGGGGGCAGTCATTCCTCCACCAGGGACCTGCAGGGATGGCGCCCCGTTTGAGGGGGAGGGATTCCCCTCCCCCAACTCTCCATCATTTCCCACTCCTTCCAAGGAGCCTGAGGTGAGAGAATCCCCTCTGCGGTGGCCCTCGAGCTTCTGCGCGAGGCCACCACCCACTCCCACGCCCCGCAGAGGTGCGGCCGGCACACCCCTCCCTCCAGATGTGCTGGAGCCCGAGCCCCGCCCCCTCCCCTCGCTCCTGCACTGACCTCGCTTCCGCTCCCGCTTGTCTTGCAACTGCTTCTTCTTTTGCTTCACGCTGAAGGGCTTCTTTCTCGGCATGGCCTGGACCAGTCACCTGGCCCAACCTCCGCCGAGCTCCGGCCGCCTCAACGGACTCCCCCCGGGTAACCCCCGCCGCAAGGGCCTGGGAGCCTAGAGGGGGCGGAGCTATGAGGTGACGTCAGCGAGCGGGCCTGGCCGATTCGCCCCAGTGGCCTGGGTGGAAGGCGGACGAAGGGAAATACAGCCACTTCCCTCTGGGAGCGAGGCGAGCGGAAGATGCGGGGTGGGCTACCCGCACGTGAGACTCTGTGGCACGGAGAGGGCGCAGCTGCGGCGAGGAAGGAGGCGCGCGTGGGACGATCAAGCTAACTTCGTCACGGACGCTACCAACTCGCGTTCGGAAGAGGGGGGACGCGTGTCATCACTACCTTGCGCGCTGGGGGAAGCTACCACTCACCTGGAGGGGGCGGTGGAGCGGAGGGCGGGTCCCACCACCTAAGGGAGAGAGAGAGAGGCGTGGATGCGCTGAAGTTACTTTACCAAACCGCGGGCTTGACCTTTGTGGAAAGACCGGACTGCGTGTCTTGGCAATGAAGTCAAGTTGCTGAGCTACACTGGGGACAGGGTCAAACGTCTTGAGGGGCGGGTGGCAGTCTGAAGAGTCCTGGGCGCCACCTTCCCGGGACCCAAATTCCTTGGGGGAGCGATGATAGGGAACAGGTTTACAGATCATAAGAGCAAGCGCGGGCGAAGAGAGAAACCCAGGCGGGGCAAGGACTTTTGAAGAGAGGTCAGAGGGCACGAAGTTGTGCCTGCAGCTGTTACCATAGTAACCCGGGACCGGATGTGTCGACCTTAAGGTGCGACAGCTCTCTCATGCCTTCTGGCCCGAGAGCCTTTAGAATCTATAGCACATTGTGAGGAGCTGGTTGTGGGGTCTTTTCAGAGAGAAGAAGAGAGGAATTTTCTTTTAAGCATTTGTAGGAACGCAACAAAAAGAAGACTTGAGACTGCCATTATGTCTGCCAGAGACCAAGCCCCACAAAAGCTCCCCGGAGCCTTCCGGAACTGAAGGGACAGGAGCCTCAGCCTCTCAGTCCACCCACCGGAAGCGGAAACAGAATTCCGGCGTGCCCCTTCCTCACTGCCCTCCAAATCCCGCTGCAGCCATTGCCGCAACCACGATGCCGAAACGAAAGAAGCAGAATCAGCAGCAGCCGCCGCTACCGCAGCAGCCCCCGCTGCCAGAGCGGGAAGAGACTGGAGACGAGGAGGATGGGAGTCCCATAGGTGAGGAGCTCGGGAAGGTGTGCATATGCCTGTCAGCTGGTCTAGGCAAGGGGTTGGGGTCTGAAAAGGTGCGGGGGAGGGGGCTCTAAAGGAAGGAGGAGGAAGGTCGCATGCGCTGCGGCGGGGATAGGAGGCTGTGCGATGTGGAATCTTGAGCGAGTTCTTCCGTGACTCCTCAACTTCCATCCGGCCTCTAACCTTTCTAAAGAAGACAGGGGAGGAAAGGATAAAGAGCTCGTGTGCGCAGCCGCAAAACGGCAAGGGAGGGGGGCCTAGAGAGGTTGCAAATTGCTGTGTCTGGGATAACAACTTGTGACCAGACTTGTACAGAGAAGGTGGAATTGTTGCCTTCTCTAAGCCGCTCTGGGGCGGGGGTGAGGGGATCGCTCTGATTGGCCAATAGTTAAGGAGCGTGATAGCACTACCTCTGAATCACTTGGGATGTTTTGGATAGCCACTATGTAAGGGAAACAGAAAGCTGTAGGTATCCTTTCCAAATTGTGTGCTCTCCTAAGCTGAGTCCTTACTTTTTTTGGGGGGGGGGGGGCCGGGGAGGGCAAATTCTGAGAACGCTTTGAAGAGGAAAGGGCACGTAGATGGGCTAAGGACTTTTTAACACTGCTGAGAATATATCTGGCTTTACTGATTGGATTAAGAGATGAGTAGCAGAAAACCATAACAGGATCATCAGTACTTTAGTCCATTCTGGTGACTATATTTTCATGTCTACTCTTAGGACCACCCAGCCTTCTGGGCCCTCCCCCCATGACCAATGGAAAGCCTGGTGACCCCAAGTCAGGTGAGGACAAGGGGGCTCCGATCCTTTGATTAGGCCCTGGAGAAGGGAGCAAGGGAGGGACTAAAACCCAGGAAGGACCAAAAGGTCAGGAATTCTTTACATAAATGAATGGAGAAATGTTGTATAATTACAGACTGGAAAGCTCAATGATGTAAAAATGTCACTTCTTCCCAAATTGATCTACAGATTGAGTGTATTCCCAGTGACAATCCGTATAATGGAAATAAGCATTCTGCATTATTACAAGGAAATGCAACGGACCAGACTGAGAAATTGCAAGGACAGTCTTGAAGTAGGAGGACTTATAACTGTAAAGCTAAAGCTATAGGTATTATGATGTGGTATGGGCATAAGTCAGTATCCCGGTACAAAGAGTCCAGTAACAGGCCTGCACATATGTAGAGATTTCATTTGTGATGAAGATGGAACTGAAATAGTGGTCATTTCAGTAAATGATGCTGGATCAATTGGATATTCATGGGGGGGGGGGATGAAATCTGAACTGTTCATACCATATGTAAATATCAATTCCATGTGAACTGTAGATATGAGTGTTAAAGGTAAAGAAAATAAATATATTTCATAGTCTTAGATGAGATAAGAGTTCTTAAACAGACAAGAAGCACATACACACTTACCATAAAGGAAAGATTGATAAACTGAACTACATTAAACTTTTATTAAATAAAATTAGCAGGAAGCCAGAGATTAGAAGATATTTGCAATAAGTATAACCAATAAAGAGCTCATATCTAGAATATATACAGGAGTTTTCTAGACAACCTGTTAGCAAAGGACCAGAGCAGCTCTCTCTCAAAACTGAGATCTAAATGACCAAGAACATGTGAACAAGAACTCAGTATCATTAGTTGTCAAATAACTTCAAGATAAAAACACACCAGTTTGAATTGAGACCCTTGTGCACTGTTGGTGAGATAGTAAAATGATTCAATTCTATGGAAAGCACTATGGCGTTTCCTCAAAAAAGTTAGAAATAGAACTACCATGCGATACAACATTCCCTCTTCTGGGTACATATCCAAAAGAATGGAAAGCAAGATATTGAAGAAATATTTGCATACTCCTATTCTTGCAGCACAATTTACAATAGCCAAGAGCCAGAAGCAACCAAAATGTCCATTGAGAGATGAATAAATGTACAAAATATGGTATATTCATACAATGAAATATTATTCAGCCCCAGAAAGGAAGAGAATCCTCTTGTGTGCTATATAGCATGGATGAACCTTGAGGCCATCTTGCTAAATGAAACAAGCTAGTCACAAAAAGACAAATGTTGTATGATTCCACTTATTTGAGGTATCGAAAGTAGTCAGATTCATAAACAAAGTAAAATGGTGGTTTCCAGGAGCTGGGTGGAGCGAGAAAGGAGAGTTGTTAAGTAGCTATACAGTATAATTTTGCAAGACGGAAAAATTCTAAAGATCTGTTTCACAACAGTGAGGATTTACTGAACACTATTGAAACATGCACTTTAAAATAGTTAGATGGCAAATTTTAGGTGCCTGGCTGGCTCATTCGGTAGAGCATGCAATTCTTGATCTCAGAGTTGTGAGACCAAGCCCCATGTTGGGCATAGAGTTTGCTGTAAAACAAAAACAAAAACAAAACCCAGCAAATTTTATGTTACATGTTCCACCACAATTTAAAAACAAACAAAAAAAACCACTCCCCAGAATGGCAAAAGTAAAAGAAATTGACAATACTAAGTGTTGTCAAACTATGGAACGATGGCCAGTAGGAATGTCAATTGGTATAGCCACTTTGAAAAAAGAAAATTTGACTTCATTAAATTTTACCATACATATCCCTAGGGCCCAACAATACCTCTACGACTTTTATCCTCAACAGAAATGCATACATATGTGTAACAAAGACATGTACAAAAATGTTCATAGCAGCATTTTTCGTTATAGCCCCAAACTGGAATCCACCCACATGTCCACCATCAGTAGAATGGATAAATAAGTTGTTGTGTGTGCATGCAATGGGATACTACACTGCAATGAAAATGAACGAACTCCTGCTACAGGCAACCTGGATGAATCTCACAAACACGATGTTGAGCGAAAGGAGCCAGACAGAAAAGAATGCAGACTGTATGATACCATTTATGCGAAGTTCAAAAACAGGCAAAAACTAACCTATGGTGCTAGAAGTCAGCATAGTGGTTCCCTTTGGGGAGGAGGGTGGAGTAGTGGGGGAGGAGGGGCACAAAGGAGGGGAGGACTTTTGAGTATTAAGAAGGCTCTATCCCTTCACCTGGGTGGTAAAAACACAGGTGTGTTGACTTTGTTGGTAACTGAGGTGTGCTTTTAAAATTGGCGTGTTTTTCTCTATGTATATTGGACTTCGATAAAAAGTAAACAAAAACACAGGGCTTCTTTATGAGGATTAACGTGGCCACTGATCACCTTTCTGTGTTTGTCTTTTTCTCTCTTTCTCTGCAGCTCTTCACAGAGGTCCTCCAGGATCAAGGGGACCAATGATTCCACCACTGCTGAGTCTCCCACCACCTCCTCGGGGCAGAGGCCCGATTCGGGGGGGCCTAGGCCCCAGATGTGGCCCATATGGTCGTGGTTGGTGGGGGGCCAATACTGAACCTCCTTTTCCTGGACCAGGCCATGGGGGTCCTCCCAGGGGAGGCTTTCACAAAGAGCAAAGAAATCCTCGAAGGCTCAAAAGTTGGTCTCTTATCAAAAATACCTGCCCACCCAAGGATGGCCCCCAAGTTATGGAAGGTAAAGTCCATTTTTTTTTTTTAATGCCTATACACATGTAATACCTGTCACTTCCAAAATGCCTGTGACTCTTCTTTCTTAGGCTATCCTTTGTCCTTTTAAAGTAGAAGTAGCCCTGAATGTGTTTTTCTCCCAGGAGAATGACTACCATTATCACTACTAGCACTACAAATACCTGGAAGTGGTAGGGAGTAGGAAATCTGACTGCCCTCTCTATTTCTGGTTTTTGTTACATCTGTTTTCTTTCTTATATTTTAAACTCCCCAATTTTCACTTGTTCACAGACAAATCCAACCGCCCCGTCTGCCGACACTTTGCCAAAAAGGGCCACTGTCGATATGAGGACCTCTGTGCCTTCTACCACCCAGGCGTCAATGGACCTCCTCTGTGAGACTGTGCCTTCCCATCCAGACTGGAAGGAGTCCTCTGTGACCTAGTGGCCATATATTTCCCTGTGGCCCTGTGATGGCTACTGTGAGGCTGTTCCACCTACCACCCTCAGTCAGTGACACCCACCCCCATCCGTCACCTCCCCATTTGGGATCCAGAGTTGTGTTTCATCACTGGTGCCCAGTGTGTGGTCTTTCTTCTGATCCAGCCTCCAGAGACTTGCCTTCAGGACCCCATCTTTGCTCCCTTCAGCTGCGTCCTGGATCCTCTTCCCCCTCACCAACTGACTGCTGAACAGGAAACCTCTTTGGTGCTGTTTCTTGTGCATCTGTCGACCCAGCCCCCAGTACTGCCCTCGATTCCTGAGAGCCCTGGAACAGTTTCCTACCATTCCCTTCTAGCTGCTTAAGTCCTTTTTATGTGACAACCCTTATCCCCAAAGTTGCCAGTTGCTCTGTGAAACTCACCAGGTTGATCTGGGGTCAAGTATGGATGACTGGTGCAGAGTTACTCCCTGAAAAGCCACTGTCCCTGCTTTTGGATTTTATAGTTTCTGCGTCAGTAGCATGGTCCCCACCACTCTGGTCTGTGATCACTGTGCTTTGTGAAACTGTGCATCCCCTCGTACGTAGCCTCTCTCAGTGTCCGTGGCATCTTTGTGACTTCCCAACACTAGAGTAAGTTTTTCTGTCAAAATGAGTGAGACTCGGTGCCCTCTAGACTTTCCACACCTCCCAATGTGGGAGAATTGTGAACATTTCTGCAAGACTGCCTCCCTGGTTTCCCCATCCTGGTGTTGGGTTTTTCTGGGTTTGACACAAGCCCATGAGGTGTCCTCTAAAGCTTCTGATGGGGAACCCTCTCTCCTATCCAGCCCACTTTAGTTAGACTGTGTCATTGTGAGGCCACCAGCCCTTTTGTCTGAATTCTGTGAATCTCCACCCAGCCTACCTTTGGGTGGAACCTGGACAGTACTGTCGCCCTTGTCTAACCTTCTTCCCTGCATCCCTGGCACTGGTTGTTTTCTGTGAAAACGGCAGTGAACAGGCTCGGTTTTGAACTGGCTCTGAGGAAATACGTCAGGAGTTGTGTGGGCAAGAGGGAAAGATGAGAGCTGTTGGAGAACTGAGAATGAATTTTTTTTTCTTTTTAACATTTTTTTATATTAGTAATAAATGCAGTGGAAACAAGCATTTTCTTCAATCCCTGTGTTCCAGTCATCTCTGGAGGTACAGATGAGGCTATTCTTGTTGGAGTCACTTTATTCTTCCATTTGTTCATACAGAGTGGTAATGGAGAAGGCAAAGCTTGAGTGTCGTTCAGTCAGAAGGAACCAGTGACGTCCCATTAACCTATAAGCATCAAACACCAGACTGTTACGTTCAAGGGTAAAGTTTTATAGGAAAAAGTAAAGGCCAAGTATCCATGGAGTCATTTTTAAATACTTTACCTACGTTTGTAGGTTTGAAGTTTATGGGAGTGGTAATGACAAAACAGTCTTCCAGCAAATATTTGTGGAGCGACTGTGAGCCTGACAATATACTAGGCACTAGAAATAACAGAGACAAAACCAATTAATTTAAATCTATAGGGGAGACCCGTTCATCAAAAATCATGAATATGTGTAAGGTAGCACTTGTCAAAAATAAGACATGACGAAAAAGGAGTATGTAATAAAGGGAGACTGGGAAGGTGACCTCTCAGACAAGCCCTGAAGGACAAGCAGGAGGTGAGGTGGGGGAGTGAAGTCCAAGCAAAGGTGTTTGCCTAGAGATGGGAAAAGCAGATGAGGCAGAAGAAAGAGGAACTAGACCACTCAGAACCTTGCAGAACACAGATTTGAGTCCTTTGAATGGTTTTATTTTAGGCAGGTGAGTATCGTGGATTAGAATAGTTTTTCAAGAAGATTGACTCAGTATAAAGAGCTGGCCAGGCTTGGAAGTGCCTTCGAAGGGAATGTTAGTCCAGGTGAGTTGTGATGATGACAGAGACTTTGGGGAGTGGAGTGGAGGAAAAGTAATTTGAAAATAAGAGATCAAAATGAAAATATTTTAGGTTTCTCAGGGTTTTTTTAAATTTTATTTTTTAATCTTTATTTTTGAGAGAGCAAGCGAGTATGAGCAGGGGAGACACAGAGATGAAGCAAGCTCCAAGTTGTCAGCACAGAGCCTGACGGGGGGCTTGAACCCACAAAGTGCAAATTCATGACCTGAGCCAAAGTTGGACGCCCAACCTACTGAGCCACCCAGGTGCCCCTCTCAGGTAGTTCTGGCTTGCATAACTACCATTTTAAAAGAGATATTGGAAGAAAACGGGCAGAATGCTGCAAATTTGTTTTTGAAATTACTGAGTGAGCTGCCTTTTAAGACTTCCAAGAAGAGAGAAATTAGGTATTTGCACATATTTGGTATTCAGATGAAAACTAGTGACATAAATGTCTACTGCATATCTGAGTTTTTTGGATATAGGTGGTAGTTAAACCATAAGCATAGAAACATTCATTCACTAAATATTAAGTAACTTCTATGACCCAGTTTATCAGCTTTTAAGTTCAGTTGTAACAGAAACCAAAACTAGCCTTGAAATAGAAGTTTACTTTCTCACAACTTAAGAGGTAGACAGGCCAAGGCATCATGCCACCACGAGGTCCTCAGGTATTTAGAACCCATCCCTACAGGTTTCAGCTCCATAATTCTCGAGGTCAGATCCTTTATTCATGATTTGGGAAGTGAAGCTTTAGCTGGCTTCTCCATGCTCCAAGCCTCAGTATGGACCAGGAAGGGCAGAGGATACCAGCTGTGTTGGAGGAAATTTCCTTAAAGCTAATGCAACTTCAACTTTGTGCCACTGGCCATAACTTAGTCTTGTGGCCAATACCTAGCTACCACTGAGGCTTGGAAAAGTATTCAGGCAGCTACATATTAAACAAAATAATTGGACTTTCAGGATGAATATCCTCTCTTAGCCACTCTGCTAAAATGTGTGGATGCCACAGAATAAGATGAAGTGTCAATACCCTCTAGCCAAAGACCACCAGGAACACACCTGTGGTTTAAACAGTTGGATTTATTTACTCTACAGAGATTATATCCATAAGAGGGTTAAGAATGACAGAATTAGGGGCACCTGGGTGGCTCAGTCAGTTAAGCATTCGACTACGGCTCAGGTCATGATCTCACGGTTCATGGGTTTGAGCCCCACGTTGGGCTCTGCTGACAGCTAGCTCAGAGCCTGGAGCCTGCTTCCGATTCTGTGTCTCCCTCTCTTGGCTTTCCCCTGCTAGTGCTCTTTCTCTCAAAAATAAATAAAAACATCAATTTTTTTAAAAAGCCAAAGAAAACTATTCATAAAATGAATACATGTATTTTTAGAGTTTCAAGGATCTTTGAGCTTCACTTATTCTAAACCTCTTATA